ACATTGATAATATTTAATAATAGTAATAAAATAATAATGTTACTATTTTCTAAATAGCCAAAAATGTTCAATATTATGCATTTGTTAGTATAGTTAATTGGTTGTCACATACTCAGCCATAGTGAATTTGTTGATTTATGCAACTACAAAGATAATTGTTTATTTTCCATTTGGTCAATTACATAATAAATAGATAATTTGTATTTTTTATGATATTAAATAATAAATGTTTCTGTAGGTGAAAATTTACGAACTGGCATCATTGGCACCATTCCAAACTCACTATCAGGCTTGCAGTTACAAAAAGTTCAACCTTTACCAGAGGGCGGTATTTCAGGTACTCCAGGTAAGACCACATGTATTGTAACCAGTTGCAATAAAATGTTTGAAGGCAAGATTTTAGTTATAACTTCAATTTGTTGTTCAGTGTAAAGTGTATCCAATATTACTCTAGAATTTAGTATTCTCAACTTTGCATTTTAAAAATTGTATTATATAGATTGATTTCTTGTCCGAAATGATCACCTATTTTTACACTACAAATTAGTTGTAAGAAAAAAACATCTCCTTTTTTCTTTAGGTTTGTGCTGCACGGGCCAAGGTGGAATTTCCTTCCAAGTTTTCAGAACGACCCTTAAGCAAAGAGCAAAGTGCCACCGAACAGCAAGCACTTAATTCAGCACTAATCAACTGGGCTATGGAAGGATTTCAGCCTAGTGGAGTAGAAGGATTTGCTCCTTCTGAAGGTATGTCTACACAACAATATGTGTTTTTCTTCTGCAAAGAGGGGTAGTTATAGGCCTAATCTAGAGCTGACCTTACATATTGTTGCCACTCTCTAAAATAATAGAGATATGTAAATGCAGTTAGATATATTAATATTATAAGATTTTGAATGCTTGTGTACTTGTTTTTGCTTGGTTGTATTTTTTACTATATTGACAAAGAAGGCATTTAAAGTGAATCATTTAGGAATGGTATTGCTCATACCAGATATTTAGTCATTGTATTTTTTGAAAGAGAATATTTAGTTACAGCGTAAAACCTCAAATAGAATACCAATGGGCTTAAACTTGTAAAGTTCTCATCTCAAAAAAGAAGCCCCCTCTTTAGTTTGCAAAAGTAATCTTGAAATAAAACACATCTTGAAAAAGGAGCCCATGGGCTTTCAAGATAGTATGGGCTTTTTTTCAAGATAGTACATATATTCAGACTGACGTTATCTTTGATAATTATGATAGCCTGTCAGTATCAATATTATTTTATTGTACTAGCATAGTTAAAAGTTAAAAAAAAAAAATACAACATATTTCGAAATCCATAGTTGGAATATGTTGTATAATATCAATTCCAAATATTTACAGCTTTTATTTTGAGAAGAAGCACCCCCCACCCTCTTTAGTTTGCAAAAGTAATCTCGAAAAGAAGCCCATCTTGAAAAAACGCCAATCTTAAAACAAAGCCCATCTAAGGGTCCTAAAAACAAGAAGAAGCCCAGGGCTTCTATTCAAGGTTTTACTGTATACTTACTAATACCAGACATAAAAGAATTAGTTAAATATTTGAAATTGTATTCAAATTCTAATATAATTGTATAGAAGAGCGACAGTCACCAACAGTAATACAACCAGCTCCAATCCCAACAGCCAGTGGAACCCCGAAGAACAAGTCAAAGGACATTGGAAGAGGTAAAATCAACTTTAACTCAAAGGCTTATTTTATTGATTGTAGAGTCTGCAAATCTGTAAAAAACACATATATTTGTTTTTTCCCCGATGAATGTTTTTTCACTTACAGGTGGACCAGCTCTCTTCGACAGGGGGCCCTTTAACAATATAGGACCTGGATTGGATATCTTTGGAGTGAAACCCACAAAATTTCAAAAAACAAAAATGTTTTAATAAG